TCTTGCCAAGCCTCTCCCTCTTTTCAGATGCCTGCCCTGGCCCTCCTGAACACCAGATTTATGAGTCTTGAGATTCACTTCATGAGGGAATATCCATAGTTTCCGGCTGTCTTTCCAACTCTGCAAATATGGGGGAGAATAGGCTCTTTCGAGATAACCCAAGGGGCCTGGTGGAGCCTTGTTTTCTGGTGAGATTGACATGTGACAGATGAGTCCAGGAGTGCGGGGCCTCCCAGTGGTCCACTCTGCTAAGTGAGGCAACAGAAAGAGTTGGGAATTTCTGGGACTGCTGTAGCAGTCGGAGGTCCTTAAGGAAAACAGTCTCAGTGCAGGCAGACCTACTCCTGAGTGCCACTACCTTTGTCCTCTTGCTCCCCCCAACCCTGTCATCATTTCTGTACTACAGCTCCTCTGCTACCCCTCCCCAACCCAGCGATCTGTATTTATTGTGTTGGGTGCTCCGACACCCCCGGGTTCTGATTCTTCAGACACAGGCAGGTGTACAGCCTATATGAGGACATGCACTCTGACACCCGGGGAAGGCAGGACTGTGAGGGTACAGCACCCTGCACAAAGTGTGGTGGGCACTCAACACACCTCTTATTAGCAAAATCTTGCTGAGATGCTTGAGCTTAACCCTTGGTATCTGCAGTTGAGTTTGAACATTCATTACGAGAACAGGTCGTATGTCTGCAATCCTATTTCTTGTACATATAAGGGTGTTTGCATTCCACTATTTTCCAAAAGATTTTATGATCTTCTTTGCATTTTTACAAATCTGGCAAATGTATTTTTGCTCTGTCTGCATTTAATGATCCATTACCCAAAGAGACTGGAGAAAACTTTGGAGCCTTAGGGGAAGGAGTGTCTAGTTTGAACATTAGAGATGCCCACTATTGAGCCAGAATGAACCTTTACAAGACAGAATGACCTTACTTAATTGTAGAGATGGAAGAACCTTTAGTCTTTGAAAAATTAAGTTCTAGGCTAGAGACGCTGAGATAATGGGTGGAGGACTACTACTTCACCTCTTCAAAGATCTACCTTGTAATGGGGCCATAAGACAGTGGCATT